TTTTATTATCTTATCCTTTAAACGAGCAATTCTTGTGTATAATATATATATATTACAATTATATATATCTATATATATATATCTATATATATATATATATATATATATATACATACACATATATATATAATTGGAATCTCGGAAACGGCTCCAACGATATTCATGAAATTTAGAATCGATCTGACTAAGTTTCATTTTTAGAAAATGTCGTTTTATCCCAGTTTTCAGGGAATGACAAATATTATTCGAATACGACGGTACATTTCACCGAAAAAAAAATTTTATAATAGCTCGGTCGGTAATCGGGCGGCCGCTAACAAACAGCCACGAAACATAAGCCCGTGGTTCGTATAACGATCATTTACAAATTTTTTTTTTACTTTTTTTTCGATTCCAGATCATTGCTTTCTTTATCTTTTATTTTTTGTTGATTTGTTATTTAGTTATTTTTTTCCCTTTTTTTTTAAGTTCTTTCTTTTGTGAAAAACACCAGTTCATATTTTCTTATTATTACGTCGGTAAGATCGAAACATATTATGCATATTTCATTACTTCGTAATTTGTATCTAAATGTAATTTCAAAATACACGATTTACCAAAAAAAAAAAAAAAAACCGAGCAAAGCTCGGTCCTCCAGGTACTCGTATATTATACAAGGTGGCTTTTATAAAGGTGCCCAAATTCACACAGGAGGTTCAGACTCGGTAGTATAATCGTTAATTGAAATAAAAACAAACTTTTTTTAAAAAAAAAATGGCATTCTATTCCCTAAAAACAAACTTGTTGACAATGAGGTAGTCATTCATAAATGCGTCGTATACTTTTGAAACGAACTTGTGTGCTTGTTAGTTATGAATGATCGCGCGCAAAATAAATGAGTTGCCCATAAATCACGCACTTTCTGAGATAAGTTCAAATGAATGTAATTAATTAATTACGAGTGTTTTCAAATATTTATCATTATTTATATAACATTATTTATCTTTATAATTTGATGAAAAAAATGGATACACTTAGAAAAGCCTCCCTGTAAAGTATTTTTTTAAGTAGCTATTGGTAGGCTTACTTATTTTTGCAATTTATTTTATTTATTTCTTCGTTACCAGATTTTATGTAGTCGTATTGGTTATAATATTCTCTATTCCTCTACTCCGCACGCTGGCTCCACTTCAATGACAATAGCCTAAGACGGGGCTATCGGGACACTGGTTAATAATAATATATAATCAACCCAAATGAAAACTCCTAAAATAGCCGTACATAAAATAAAATTACATCGTCCACATTAAAAAAATGTTCATAAATAACATAATATTCAGCGCTTCTTATCCATCTAATCAAAGACAGAATCCACATTCACAAAAAACTTTATTTCCCAAAGACGGTCTCGCATACTCACGTCGACTAAACCACCACATCTCACCACCCATCAAAAACCCACCCATTAAGATAAATCAAACTCGACACAGTTGTGTTTCTAAATTACTGAGTTCCTATGGCCACATTCCAGCCCTGTCATCAGACCATGGTTACCATCTAGCACCAAAGAACTCGTCTTAGCGAATCAAACGAGCCGAAACGGTTGAGTCGTTTCATTACAGAGTAGTCATAGGAACCTCACAGAATAGCCTCATAGACCTCACAGAAGATCGGCGTAAAGTACTTCTGCGATTTGTCTGGTGAGTGAGGTAGTTGGAGCCCACTTTATTATAAGGAGAAAACGCATCAGCAACCCTATGCACATGTCCATCGACGGCTGAAGATGGAGCTCCATCATCAGATCCTGGTTACCAATGAAAGACAAACTACTCGTCAATACTATTCAAATGTACCCAAACGCGATGAGGCTCTGTGGTTTGATTCGAAGTTGCTTCCTTCCTTCCAGCTCCATCAACAGATCAGCACCATGTCATAAAAATATTGCAGTGTCTCGCGATTTACACATGTATACAAAATTTCAGCTCAACCGGTAACCGGGAAGTAGATCAAATTTAATTTGCAAGATTTGATTTGATGATTTAAAATTAAAATTTTGTAAAATGTTCATAAAATGAAAACTACTTGGCCAAACTATGGCAAATTTTTATGGGACCAAATGGCAACTATTCTGCATCAAACTAAAGAAAAATCACGTAAATCGGATCATAAATCTCAACGTAATCGGTGTACATACATCGAAAAAAAAATATACCAATCGAATTGAGATACTCCACTTATTGAAGTCGATTAAAAATATTATATTATTTAATTAAATATTGAAGGTACTTACATAAAATGTATATTGTGGCAAAAAATATATTAAAACATTATGTTTAACAATTTTAATTAGTGGTCCACCTAGGTCCTAGACTCAGCCCAGGGGGGATCATGAGCCCCATGACCCCCCCCGGATCCGCCCTTGCCGTCAGCTCGCTTGTCACCTTTTTTACATAAAAAAACGGCATATTGGACGATTGCGCTATCTCTGCCGGGGAAGACTCATCATAGAAGACTGGGCATAAAGTATACTATACTAGCTGCTGCCCGCGACTACGTCTGCTTAGAATAGGCTGAAGGCGTAACACACAGACAGAAAGACAGATATACATACAAATATGTATATAAATTATAGCCTATGTCTTGTTCTGATGTATAAGCTATATTATTGTAAAGTTTCATTAAAATCCATTCAGAAGTATTGCGTGAAAGAGTAACAAACATATATCCATATATACAAACTATGACATTTATAATATTAGTAAGAATGCTTCTTACAGTGACCCTTACTTGGCAACTCTCATAAGTGTGGTGGATGATCGTGTTGATTACTATCATTATTATGAATGCTAACCGCCAGTCGGTTTACAACTTAATTGCAGAGAAAAATGCATAGCTCAGTGCTGAATCTGAATTAAGTACTACTCATCAACTGTTACTTTAATCAGACGGGCGGTTAAAGTAATAATTAATTCCGAACGTTCTCGTATTCTCAGTTTTAACTATGATAGAGCCATACAGTAGCTTCTTCTGTTGCAAAAATGGGCAAGCTCGCCTGGGAAAGTACCACGGCCTCACAGAAGACCGGTGTGAAGTTGAAATTTTTTTTTCGGCTGGATGAGCCACTGTTGGCCTTAGAGGCCTTTACAGATCTTTAGGGGTCTTTACGAATCTTAGAGGCCGGGCGCTTGGGGCGCCTAACCTGAACCTCGGCGCATTATTATTACGCGTTATGGTGACTAAGCTCGAGGGCTCCCGAGGGAAGCTCGGCTCGGGCCGTCACGCTATTAGTTTCACCGATTTGGGAGGCCGCCAAGCTCTTAGGGCGCTTTGGCGGACGCTCCATGGAGTGACTAGGCTCAAGGGTCCCCGAGAGGGGACCTCGGCTTGGGCTGTCACTCAAACCGCGTTTAGCATTCCGATTCGAGGGTGCCCGAGAGGGCCGGACCTCGGCTGGATCGGTAGCTTTTATCTGGCTGGGAAAGTTGAAGAGACACTTCTTTAGACTTTCGCGCTTCGTCTGGTGAGTGAGGTAGCCAGGGTGCTTTCGCTTGTTTTCGGTTTTTTTTAAACGGTTTTATTTAGCTCGACCCGTACTTTTTTGAATTTGTTTGTTTATTTATTTGTTTATTTATTTGGGTCAAAATTAGAAATTGACATTTAAGCACCTTGCCGTTGTCAGATTGATCTGAAATTTGGTACACACATTTAATTTTGATGACAATACAATATTAACAAAAAAAAAAAACAAAATAAAACCATTTAACTTAAAAGTTTTTTAAAGTAATTATTTAAACATTGCCCTCACTTTAGGATAACATTATCCTGTGTTGCCAGGACGTTTTACATAAATAAATTTCACGTGGTGCATTTAGACACCAGATGTTGTAGATGTCGTGCTGTTTTCCCAACTGTTCGCATAAAAGAGTTTCCTTTAACAACTCTCCACATGGATAAATGTTTCAACGAAATGAGCCAATTTCGATTTGAATATTTTCGCGATTTTGACGTGTATTTTATCGTGTGTATTAAATCGTATTTTATCAACAGATATAAACTGATCTTCCGATTTTGGAAACTGCTCCAAAGTTTAATATCTTATTATCTGTGGTAAGTTTTAAAAGATTGTCAACGCATTATCAAGCCATCGGATGTTGCAGATGTCCATGGGCGGCGGTATTCATTCAACATCAGGTGAACCGCCTGGTCGCTTGACAACTTTTCACATAAAGAAATATATATTTACGGGCTGCCCTTGCAGACTTCGTTTTTATATTATTAAAACCTTCCGTGGACCTTAAGGGACATGCAAAAATTTAATTAGACGAATTAGTCCAGCCATTCTAGAGTTATGCGCTTACCAACATTATTTTTTTTATATAGAATTGATATATTTTGTATAGTCTACGCTGTAGCACAAATGGACAGGTCCGTCCGGGTAACTACTAACTACCACGACCCCAGAAGACCGGCGTGAAGTGCATGTGTTATACTGACGCGTTTACTGGTGAGTGAGTTAGTCGGGGTCTATTTTATTCAAGAGTTGCAACGCATATGCAACCCTATGGGTGTTGCAATTGGTGGGCGGCGGATATCCCTTAACATCAGGTGAACCGCAAGTTCACTTTCCACCTACTCGCACAAAAGACAAATATTTCATTAGCGATGATTAATGCAATGTTAAAATATGTTTACGCCTTTATAAAAAAAAAACAAGCCAATTGTTCAGAATGTATTTAATCTATGAACGTATGTATGGTATATTTATGTATGTATGTAAGTGTTTAATTATAGTCTTTTTAGCACTTGCTGGGCCAGCGTTCCCCGCCCTTAGCTCGCATTGGACGATCTCCAAATCCCCTAGCCAATCGGCAGCAGGCTCCGCAACCCCCGTTCGAAATTTGAATATTTTTTCCCATTATTCTCAGTCGCGATCTTAACGCCGTAGAGTCCACATCAATACACGCGAATCGAAACGTGGTGTATGTGATTTTGTGTAGAAATAATAATTACATTGTGCTTTTATGCCAACCGTCACGGACATAACGAGGAGAAGCTGTAAGTTTTAATAATATAATTTTTTGTTCTTTTACGTAATTAAAAACCACACGGCCCGCCAACTGTACCCTAAAAAGTTTACATCAGTAGATATAGTTAAGCCCTTAGGTAAAAAAACCTACTATTTTTTTTTAATACCGAAGGAAATAAAAGTGGTAAAAACAAAAGCGGTATTCATGGAAAATATTGTAAAGATGTGCATTTTTGTACCAAATACGTAATTTATGTATGTTCCAATCACTTATCTGTCAAATAGCTAAGAAAGCTTATAGTTCTGGGATGTATTTATTATTTCTTTTTTACTGAGAAAACAACGCTTTATTGTGTAAAAATTTTAACGATATTAAATACTAACTCAATACTTAATAACATGTTATCTAATAAAGCTAGTCCACGCGTCATGGTGCCAAGAACGCTAGCTGCATTTCCTCGCTGAATAGTCATGCTTAACTATTCAGATTACATTTATTACAGCTTACTCTTGTCACCAGCCGCAGCGATAATTGGTATAAGTCGTAATTCTTATAAAATTCACGTGCCGGAACCCCAGGTGACAACTGAATTTGGAACAAGTATATAATCTGAACACGCGTTAATTAATTTGTGTTATTAACAAGCTATTATATTGGCGTTTGCCCACGGCATGAAAACTTACATCACATAACAAGTAATCTTTATAAAAATGTTTGAAAACTTCAATATCTTTAGAAGAATTCGTTCAAGCCCCAAATAATGCGCGCCCAACGGCAGACTTCTATTACTTTGTTAGCCGACTTCAAAAAAGGAGGGTCTCAGTTTGTTACCTCAGAACTTTCTACTGAGGGAACGGATTTTGATGTTTCTTATTTTATTCGAAAGCTGGTGCTTCCCATGTGGTCCCATATTAATTTCAATGGTATTGCATCTGGGGCTCCGGATATATCCAGGAAACATCTGAAGATCAATTATAAAATGAATACAGAGCGAGATATTTGAAGTTGGATTTGTTTTTCGTTAATAAACAAATGGACTTGTATATAGATAAATAATTATTTCTGGACCTGGTTCATGTAAACTTTATCCAGTACTAAGCTTGTACTATGGGCACCATATAACTGATAAACATACTTTTCTTTTGTTTATGAGTACATATTACAGATAATTCAATATCAAAATATCTTTATTCCCATAGATGCTTGCGCGTTCTTATGCAACGTCGAAATTTTACATAGAAATCAATACGTTCGTAAGTTACTACACTAACATGAACACTACTTCCTCACGTAACAATTTTCCAGTTGCGGAAAACCTACTCTCTGACCAAACAATCCGTCGATATCTTAAAATAGATTTCTCTCTAAATGTGTTTCGATTCCCACACGAGATAACTATTTATGTGACCGACGGATAATTGTTTCGGATCTGGGTGTTAGTTCACGTGAGACTCATTATGTAAACCTTCCTTACAACACAGGATATATATCACAATGTGATTCTACAGTGAGGGGGGTATGTTTTCGAAGGAAAGACTACAGCAGATCTTTTTTCAGTAGTCGTTGGGACTTACAATCAAGGGGTTGGATTGTAAGTCCACACAAAATTCAAATACAATAACAATAAACCGCCGCCCATGGACATCTATAACGTTTTTTATATGTGATGTTTGTCGTTGGTAGGGCCATAGGCCACGAATGGCCTAGCCCGTCCGGGTAAGTACCACGACCTCACAGTAGACCAGCGTGAAGTGAAATTGTTAAACTTCTGCGTTTCATCTTGTTAGTGAGGTATCTGCAGTGGCGATGGGCCGGACATATAGCTTGTAGAACCGATAACCAATGGAGTAGTAAGTTCTTAGTAGGTTCTCGAGTGGCAGTCTCGTAATAGTACGAGGTGCCACTCAAGTGTAGGACGACCCCCACCAGTTGGAGTGCGACCTGTGCAAATGTGCGGGAAGTCGATGTCTGCAGGCGGCTCAGGATCGTACTTCGTGGCAGTCTGTGGGTGAGGCCTATATTCAGAAGTGGACTCAAACAGACCGAAATAATGATGATGACAATCCTCCCTGCATCCATTGAGAGTAGGTTTAAGAGCCCTATCAGACCAGACCTCTTGGTCTTACGCCGCAGGTTATCCTATTATGGGTTACTATTGGCTTCGTCTTTGCCGTTCAAGTCACGACTCCTAAGCTCCTACACTGGGACTAGTTTGGAGGTGAGTCCCCTAACTGTATTCCTACTTCAAGAGCCGAGCCCCATTTAAAATACCTCTGATTTTGCCAGTGACTATAGCCTGTTAAGGGATTATATATTCACTTATCATCGGTTGTCCCGTTTGCCTTTCTTTCCATAAAAATATATTTTGTTCGTTAACTTTTCTTTTCAGCATTGCAGGATATGTCAAAATATCGTAAGCGTTGGTCAATGACACCAAACAATTAGAGTAACAGATAACAACCGTTTAATTTTAACTGCAGTATCGCTTGCGGTCGAAATTTACAGAGTTTTAATGAAAAGTAAATGTCTACATTGAAATTATTTAATCTGTCTAAACTGCAGCATAAGCATGATTTTTTGCATGCACTCAAATGGTGTCACTTTTAGGCTAAAATAAACAAGCCCGCAGGTATAAGGATGTTTTCTTTCATTTTTAACACAGTTTAAAGTTAAATCCAAGTTGTTGAATTATATTTCGTGGGATACTATAATGAACTAAGTAATTATATGTTAGCCAATATGCTGATAGTTTTCCACATCTTCATCAAATGTTAACTATAATAGTAATAAAATTGTGTGTCTGTCTGTTATTTCAAAATATTTGTTTGGATTGATCCCGGTGGCTGAATTTTACCATCGTACATCGCGGCAATACCAAAAATTTCATACACACCACTCATTCAGCGTTCCCCAACAGCGCGATTTTCGGGAGACCTGGAATCTTCGAGAAGGGAGCATATATATTCATATATATATTTATTTATTTCATTCATTTATTTGTGTATAGTAGTGTTGTGTACATGTGTCTATAATACCTATATTTAGAATAGCGTATACCTCAAACCCTTCTCACTGATCATTGTACCCTCAGTAACATGGTTGCCTGGTAGAAATCGCTTCTTAGCGATAAGGCCGCCAATTGTACCTTTATGTAATTGTTTGTTACTTTTCTAATTTTGTCTGGTGTACAAAAAATAAAAATAAAAAAATAAAAATCACTTTATTTCCTTAACTTGTAACTAAAAATGCATTCTTAAAGTTAAAGTATACAATAGAATAAAGGCAAAAGGAGGCGGCTCAGCTTGTGCTGATCGGGACAGTAGTTCCGAGCAGCGCTGGTTTTCAGCCTCTCCCCACTTCCTGAGGTGTTTTTCGGAAGTTTTAGTTGTGGCCTACCAAGCGAAAAACTACGTTAAAAAGTATATAAAATCTATATAAAAAAGGAAGACAATATGAATTATAAAAACAATATGAATTACAAAAAAGGAACAATAATTTTAATCGTACCGGAACTCTATTACAATAAAGCATATTTCATTCATCTTTCCTAAAAGGCCGGCAACGTATTTGCAAGTGTTCATGGATGGCGGTGATATCTTGTGATATGAGATGAGCCTCTTGCTGGTTTGCTCGTTTTTTTCCATAAAAAATACCATAATGGTAACTACTACTTATAGGATGCCTTACTAGAAACATCGTTTTAATAGTTTTCGAATCTATTCATCAACGCGATGCCTACATGAACGTTTTCAGATTTTTAATGTCTGTCTCTAATTTTGTCTCGGATATTAAGGATTTTTAATTTATAATTTCGTTTGTTACATTTCGATTCATAACATTGGATTGAAATTTTTATTAAATTTGGTTACTACATCGACAAAGATGAAGTTGCGGGCATAATATAGTCTACCGCGATGGTTTTTCACCAAACATTTCTTTGTATGTTATTACACTTTTGATGATGTTTTCACTGCTATGGAGGGAAACACTTATATTTAATATATACTTATTGCTTATACATCTATAAAATGTATCTCTTATTATTAATATATTATGTACATTAGAAAATTATGTCTAAGTATGCCTATCAGTTACAACCTTTGCTTAGTTTGTGATCTTTCAGACAAGGCAGAAATTATTTTTTAAAGGGTATTGAAAATTTACATTCCCGCTCAAATCAGAATTTTCTGTTTATTCTTTCATGCCTATGCCGAGAATTTATTATAGGCCCTCGTAGGTATGGTAATATCACATTTGTTACATTGCATCAAATTATAATAAAAATAAAAAGCTCTAGTTATAATACTGCCCCACGTCTTTCAAAAGTCGCCATCAAAATTTTATGTGAAATTTGTTTTTATTATTTGATTTGAAGAACCGATGGCCGTTGGGGCAAAAAGGTTCTCGAGTGGAGACCACGTGACGGCAAACGCAGCGTAGGAAGGCCTCCCACAAGGTGGACGGACGGTCGTATCGTTTTGAGCCACGAGAATCTTTGACGAAGCCGCAATCTTTGACCTCGATACAGGCTTCTTGCCATCCTGCGCCTAGAGCGACCTCTACTGTCGCTCTCGAATTTCTCGAAGTTCTCGAATGTCATGAGTCCTCTCAAACTGATAATATTTTTTTAAAAACACTTATTATCATTCCATTGGTTAAAATTTGCAATTGTGAACACATTCACCAAGCAATGCTCAAAAAGTAAAAATAAAGTAACGGCCTGTACATGTCCCATTGCTGGGCGAAATACTCCTCTATACAGAGGGTATCAGGGCATAGTCCACCACGCGGCCCCACTGCGGATTTGAGGACTGTTGTTATTATTTCTAAAATATGCATATTTCCCCACGACGTTTTCCTTCAACGCTGACCACGTGATAAGTCGGCACTTAAAATTTACAATTTCATTGGTGCCGGCACCGGGGATCGGACTTAGTTTGCTCGAGCATATTGAATTAAAAGCGATCACTCGGACAGTGAGCTACCACGACCTTTAAACATTGCTTAAAATGCAAAAGAAAAAACAATGTAGATATTGAGACGTTGAGATTTTCGTCGGTGTGTCAATCAGCCGTTATGCTTAGTGGTTGAAGCGTCTAGTCGCAAATCCGAAGGACACATATAAATTTTAATGTTTCATCTTAAGTAATACAAATTTAAATTCCATTGGTTTCCTTAGTTATATACCTTTTAGATTTCTCGTAATATATACCTACGCTGTGGAATCCTTTGGTAACGTGAATCTACAAAACCACTTTGGATTGAAACCAGCCGACCAGCGTAAAGTGGAAGTATGACAAATACTTTTGCGTTTCGTCTGGTGAGTGAGGTAGCCGGAGCCCAATTTTCAAAAGGTTGTCAACGCATCTGTAGCCCTCGGGTGTAGCAGATGTCCATGGGCGGCGGTATCCACTTACAGGTGAAACGTCTGCTCGTTTGGCAACTTTTCACATAAAAAAAAACCTTAACGCTATCTCGCGTGCTCAATGCCTTACGCACTTGTCCGAGTCTTGAAATGGCGGCGATAAACGCGTCATTTATTAATAAGCCGTGAACACTGGAATTGTTAGAATGAAACGCGTGGTTGTCGCATGGTGGCGGAAGTCGCTATCTACGGATGCCGCTATGTTTGTAAGCGGCGACTCACGCCGGCATGCGTATTTTTAGTGTTCAATCATCTATTATGTTATAATAATACTAGCTTTTCGCCCGCGGCTTCGCTCGCGTTGGAGTCCCTATATAAATATATTTTTGTAATAAAAAAAAATCCTATTTTCTTAATACCTCTAAGAATATGTGTACAAAGTTTCATGTCAATCGGTTGACTAGTTTTGGCGTGAAAGCGTAACAAACAAATTTACGTTCACACTTTTAATATCAACAAGTAGGGATTTTTAACTGACTTCAAATGAAGAGGTCTGAGGACCTCGGTTGTATTGTTTTGAATGTTTATCTCATAAATCCGCCTTTACGAACCGAATTTAATGAGTCTTTTTGCGTTGGATTTGGCTTAGCTCTAACTCGAGCGATCTGACGTAAATCCCAGTGCTGGCACCATAGAAATTGTCAATTATAAGTACTGAATTGTCACGTGCACGGCGGTGAAAGAAAACATCGTGAAGAAACCCGCATATTATCGATAATGTTAAATAAAATATTTCCACGATATGCAAAGTCTGCCAATCCGTAGTAACGTCGCGTGGTGGACTATGTCCTAACACTCCCTGTACAGAGAGACCTTTTCCCAGCAGTGGGACTTGTACAGGCTGTTGCTTTAGTTCACTATTAGACCTTGGACAGAGATACAATACTAAGAAACTCCTCGTCATATTTTTAGTTTCATAGTTTTAGTTATTTTTAGTCATACTCTACTGTGATCGAGCCGCGCATCTATGGTGTCATGAAGCTTATTTTGTTGTTCCACTTACAAGCAGGCGCTTACGGAACTACCTCTAAGTTTCTTTATTTGCTGATAAATAGGTAGTACAGAAAAACATTTACTACATACTATACTCATTTATTGTGTAAATTAGTTTCTCTAGTAGCCATCGTCGTAACGAAATTTTAAACATATTATATGGTAATTGTTTTATATGTGAGGGTATCTTGTTATAAATAGTACTGCACATTGCATAGCTATTTTTTTGAAAACGCTTACTTTTAGGAATTGTATCTAGTACTAATTTATCTTGGTTCCGTAAGTTTATTTTTGTCACATCTTTAGCTTTTATCTTTTGTAAAAACATATTCTGGTTTTGTTTTACAAATTTGCAAACCTCAAATATATAGAGACAAGGAAAAGGAAGTCTATTTAAAGGCTTAAAATAAGTCTTGCATGATATATATGATGAAATGTTACTAAGAGCTCTAATACAGCGCTTTTGAGCTAGAAATACTTTTTGACATTCTGTGCCCTTACCCCAAATTATAAGTCCGTATCTGATAATAGATTCTATATATGCAAAATACGCTGTGATCGCCGTATTTATGTTTGATATTTTTGCTAATTTATGTAACGCGTATACAAATCTGTTAATTTTGTTACACACTTTATGTATATGTTCCTTCCAATTTAGATTAGAGTCTATAACTAAACCTAGAAATGTTGTATTATTAGCATTCCGCAGTAATTGTTCATTATATTTAATATTTATGTCAAAATTTAAGTTATTAATATTAATAATATGTGTCTTACTTAAATTAATGTGTAGATTATTTTTATTTAACCAATTATCTATTCAATTCACTGTTTTAATTATGTCTGTTTTATGTTTTTTCTTACTTGTCGTAATCCTCACTGAGATGTCATCGGCGAATAAAGTGATTTTGTAGTTTGAGACATCGGGTAAATCATTTATATATAATATAAATAGCAATAGTCCAAGTATACTACCTTGGGGAACGCCAAAAGTGTTTTTTTTTTAAATTCCGATCTATATACCTGAGCTATGTTATTTCGATCCAATTGTGTTATTTCAACACACTGTGACCTATCATGTGAGACACAACCGAATGCTTTAGACATATCAAGAAATAGTACTGTTGTATAATTTTTTTGATTCACATTTTGCAAGACTTCCTTTACTAACGTAAACGCAGCATGTGTTGTCGATTTCTTTTTTTATGAAACCATGCTGATTTTCTTTTATTACATTAAATTTAGTGAAAGAGGAAGTAAGTTGGTAGTGTATAACTTTTTCGAATAATTTTGAAAGAACTGGGACTATTGCTATTGGAAAATTGAAGAAGTAGACTTATGCGTTTTATCTGGAAAGGAACCGAGAACTACTCCTTTTGAGATTGGAAGTGCATGTACGGCTCTATAGGTGTTTTAGATTATTTTTATGTTAGAAAGTGCCAAACGGGCTGGCGGTTCACCGGATGTTAAGTGATAACCGCCACCCATGGATATTTGCAACACCCGTACAACAACCCGCGTTGCCACCTTTAAATTAAGTGAGCCTCGGCTACCTCGCTCATCAGACGAAACGCGGAGCCTTCTGTGAGGTCGTTGTAGTTAATCGGACGGACCTGCCTATTCGTGTAGCATTAGAAGTAGCTCTAGCTATGTACACCTGGTACTTTAGAATCTGAGAAAGTCTCCGCATTCTGAGATAAGTCTCGGCATTCTCAGCACGTAGTCCAAGTGAGCGAAACTTTATGCAAAGCTAGTATGTGAAGGTTATCTTGTGATGTTTAGCGATGGAGGTATATATATGTCCTTTGAACATCTTTAGATAAAAAAAAAATCTCGCTCAATAGGCAACAACATTGTTCAGAACACATAAAACATTATTTTGAACATTTACAAAACTGAGCAAAAGAATTTATACTCGGTTGCGAACGGTCGTGCACTGAACCATATTCCCCGAAGATATGAAGAAGTAGCTTGAAATGAATCCACCAATGCATATATTAGCTCTTCAGTAGATATATTATGTACTCGTGTATTTTCTGTCACTCACGAGCTACACAACTCTATGTAGAGGCATTCAAAACAATTATTAAAAGGACAGACACCCGCGACTGTTATCTATCTCTTAGATCTACGTTGGAATCGAACTCATGAACACGCGCTAAATTCCAACACCTAGTAGCGTAATCTAAAGTATAATCTTTACTTATTTCCCGAACAGTGAATCCGTCTACCATGGCGTCTGATCAAGAATCTACGGACGAGGAGCCAGACAGTGAGATGCTGAGTGACGACCTCTGTCTGCAAGACAGCGATGATGACAGGCAGACAGTCAGGAGTGTTCAGGTACCACATTATACGTTTCTTAAGAGTAGGTGATAATAAAGTAGACGGTTCATCCGCATCTAGTTCTGTGGCCAGAGGTTCCAAAATTTTCGGAGGACGTACCTGTTGGACATAAAATACAAGACTAAAAAAAACATTAAAAAAATTAAATAAAATATAAAAAAACAATAAACAATTTATAGTGTTTTTATTGTCGGGTGTTTGTTAATCAATAAAAGTATTTTTTAATGTTAAGAGTTGTCATGCGAGCTGGCGGTTCAACTGATGTTAGGTCATCACCGCCACCCACGGAAATTTACAACACCTTTTACGGTGTACGTTGTGACGTGTAGGGCCACGCAACAACTTCGGCTGTTGCATGAACGAGCAGGTCCGTCCGGACAAGTATCACGGCATCGCAGAAGACCGGCAAAAAGTGGAAGTATCTTCTTCTTATACTTTCTTTTACTTCACTGAAGTATCTTATTATACTCCTGCGTTTCGTCTGATGAATGAGGTGACCGGGGTCCGCTTTTTAATATTTTTACAACGCTGCAACCAGGTGTTCTAGTTATCTAGGCGGTTATTACTAAGCATCAAGTAGGCTACCTGCTCGCTTGGCAAATTTTCTCATAAAAGAAAACAAAGTAACGATTGTTACTTTTTTTATGCTAAAAGTTGTCAAACGAGCAGACGGTTCACCTGATGGTAAGTGAATACCGCCGCCCATGGACATCTGCTACACCCGAGGATTACAGATGCGTTGACAACCTTTTGAAAATTGGACTCCCGCTACCTCACTCACCAGACGAAACGCGAAAGTATTTCTCATACTTCCACTTTACGCTGGTTTTCTGTGAGGTCGTGGTACTCACCCGGACGGGCCTGCCCATTCGTGCAACGGCCAAGGCTGCTGCGGGGCCCTACCATCGTTGAACTTTCCACCGTCTTTTAAAGAGCCGTGTTGTAGTCATCCATATGCGGCGGTTGTTACTAAGCATAGGGTAAGCTGCCTGCTCACTTGGCAACTTTTCTCATAGAAGAAAAAAATATAGCAATGAATATACGCCTTTAAAAGAAACATCATCCCGTTCTCTACCAGAGCCACCCAGAAGACATGTCGACTCTCAACTCCTGTCTGCTGCGGCCACCTCGCAAGCTGTTCACCAACTGCCGCGAGCGCTGGCGTCAGCAGAACGTGAGCGGCGCCTTCGCGGAGCTGCGCAGGCTGGTGCCGACCCATCCGCCCGACAAGAAGCTATCCAAGAACGAGATACTCAGGATGGCGATCAGGTGACGAGCCATTCCGGAGATTTCTGTGGTAGTATTCGTACGGCAATAGATGTAAAATTTGTAAAGATTTAAAAACACTATGTTACACTTGCCTATACTAACAGTCACTAGAATATGATATAGACCAGAGTTCCCCAAACATTTTTGTGTCGTAGACCCTTTGCCATGTTTTTCTGTGTTGGGTAGACCCCCTAAGTAGAGGGTCTACCCAACACAAAAAAAAAGCAACCATTGAGGAGTACTCGTGTAATTTTGCATGATTGAATATTAAACTACTAATAACTAACTAAAGTCATGATTGGCGTAATTTATCTATCTTTGCTAATTACGAGTACAAAACTAAAATTTAATAAAAAATAATGTACTTACTTTTCTCCAGCACTCTCAAATAAAACAACACTGACTCACTATAATTTGTGTGATATACTACCTGTTTATATTTTTTCAAATATTTTCTTAGCACTTTCCTTTTGAAGATTCAGGAAACGAATAAACGTTTTTGTCCCACATTCGTATTTATAGAGTGACGAATTGAACAAGTCAGTGCAAGGTAGCGAAGCTCTGAGACTGCGACTCTCAGGTTTTTACAAGTTCAAAATGTATTGCGACCACAAAGCGAATACCAACATCCTACAATTTACACAATTTTATAAACATATATAATATTTTTTTTACTTCATAGGTACTTTTATAAATAATGTATATGTTTTGATATTATAAGATAGTATGATGTAAGTAAATAGGTACTATCAGTGTATGTGTTGAGATCCACTATCGTGGACCCCCATTTTCATTTCATGGACCCCTAAATTTTTTTTTCGCTGACGTAGACCCCTGCAGGTTGTCATAGACACCTAGGGGTCGATATAGAACACTTTGGGAATCACTGATATAGACTGTCAAAACAGTGAATACGGGCTATGATAATGTACATCAACGCCATCTGTCGATACACCAAAGATCTTATTAAAAATATTTCAATACTTATCGATCTTAAAATTTAAATTCGTTCATGCAATCTAGATGTCGCTGTAAGTTATAAAAATGCTTGCAATATGTGAAAATACATGTGAGAAAGTACTTGTCACTTAAGCGCAATGTCACCATTTATTACATTTAATGTAGAGCACACGATTAATTATGGTGGTAATGAGGACTTTGTTTTCGCAAGGCGAAAGTTTTAAGAACTGACACCTGTATCTAATGTTATATCATTAGCAAAGATGTATTTTTAATCTTGGATATACTTACGATTCGAAATCTTTTAGTCTCTATTTATCTTAGTAGTATCGTTTTTTGTTAAGTCAATTTAATATATTTAGCCTTGGTGAGCTATAAAGATTAAAATGACTTAACAAAAAAAATGTATATGCTGCTTTGGTTGGTTAACTGCATTCATTATTATAAGCGATTACTGGCAGTAATTGACATGGAGATATAAGACGACCCAATTGGCGTAGTTGTTAGTGACCATGTCTCTTGCGCCAGAGGGTTTTGGTTCGATCCCCACTACTGGAAAAATATTGTGTGATGAACATATTGTTTTTCTAGTGTCTGGGTTTATGCATGTATAATATGTACATGTATTTATTTTCAAAAAAAATATGGTAAAATATGTTTATCAGTGGTAATAGATTACCATAGTACAAGCTTTGCTTAGTTTGGGACTAGATTACTTCGTATAAAAATGTCCCGAAATATTTGTTTATTTACTTAAACATCTGCATAGTTGAAGATGTCTTGCTAACCATAAACCAAACGCCTAATGCTTGCACTTCACGCTGGTCTTTTGGAGTCTACCGATTCAACTACCCCCATTTTTAAAATTTTTTTAAGGAGTAAAAGTTGCCAAGCTAGCAGGAGGCTCACCTGATGGTGAGTGATCACCGCCGCCCATGAGCACCCGCAACACCCGAGGGCTTACAAACGCGTTGCCGGAACCATTTTTGACTCGCCGAGCCCCATTTCACCAGCACCGCCCTTCCGTAGGTACATCGGCCTCCTGTGTGAAGTGCTCGAGTGGCAGAAGAGCCAGGGTCTCCTCACTAACAATGAGAGCTCGGGCCTTGCAGTGAAGTGCGACCCCCTACTCAGCCCCCCGTCCAGGCACCTGCGGCTCAAGCGGCCGTTCTTCGACGACGAGGCCAGAAGACCGAAGACCGAAGACCGCGCAAAGCACGGCAACGAGGAGAACGAGGAGAACTTGCGCAGGAACGTTCACCGGTGCCCCAGCTTCAACAGGGAGTACTACTTCGGCAAGGACCATCTGAAGATACTGAGGGGCCAGTACGCCTTCCCCTCCAGGTGGAGACAGAGCGCGCCGTTCAGGAACTTGGCCGAGAGGAACGGAAACAACCTGCTGATGATAGCCCCCGCCCAGGTCAAGGATGATGACGGAAAGAGTAACAGCAGATGTAAAGAGAAGACGGACGGTAAAGATAAGTGAAAATACGTCACCCACGATTTCTGTACACTGTGTAGAAATAAATAAGGAGATGTTTAACGATTACTTATCTTATATGCAACAATTATAAATGAAACAAAAAATTATTCTTGCAATAGCGCAATCTACTGGAGGCTTCAAGACGTAGTGAAAGTAAGTCACCATCTCTGTGTACTGTGTAGAAATAAATAAGGAAATATTTAACGAGTTTTTGCATCTAACAACAAGTAACGTTTTTTGTATGAACTGTAACTGCATTAAAATGCTAATTCTCTTTTCACTTCCGCAATTGAGAAGAATCTAATTTGTTGAAATCTGTCAAAAACTTTAGGCTGTAGAGCGTGTTAAAGAATTAGAAATACATACATAAATACACGTATACATGTAGGAAAATAATTACCTTCTTTGGCAGTCGAGTAAAATACATATGTTTTAAAGTTTTATCGAGTATAATTTCAAATCTAAATTCCGTTACCCGTTAGTCTTTCGACTGAGCACGAACGATGAAAAGTACTCGAAATTTCGCGTAATCTCATTACAATTAAATGCGATAAAATCTTTAAAAATCATCTGATAATTTGGTACCATCTTTTAGGAAATTACATTGCTGAGATTTTATTTAAGTGCGTTTCTTTATTTAATTGAATTGTAAATGTTGAAACGCTCGGAGCGTAAACTTTATGATAAACACACAGTCTTTATAGCTTTAGAACTTGATTGTACGTTTTTTGCTTCTCCCACTATTTCAAGGACAGTGAACTGCTGTGGAGTCTAACAATATTTCTTCCTATTGTCTAAATGAAATGTTTCTTTTATAATTCGATTTGGGTGTAACAAAAGTTTTCTAATAACAATAATTTGATAATTGAAGGTTTTTTCTTATGTGAGAAGGTGGCGATTCACCTGATGTTAAGTGAACGGAAGCTTAAGAAAACTTTTTTTTATGTGAAAAGTTTCCAAGCGAGCAGACGGTTCACCTGATGTTAAGTGAATACCGCCGCCCATGGACATCTACTACACCCGGGGGTTACAGATGCGAAGCTTTTCACATAAAAAAAAGTTTTCTTAAGCTTCCGTTCACTTAACATCAGGTGAACCGTCTGCTCGTTTGGCAACTTTTCACATTAAAAACAAAAAAAAAGCAACAGCGAACTGTTGCGTGGCCCTAGCAAAGTACTCTTTTGTAAACATTCAAAATTTGCAAACCGTCTATTAAATTTGTACTAATAAGTCTGTTTAATATAAAAATTAAACAGACTTATTGAAACAAACATTCATGAAATAGCAAACCTTTTTATATATTTTTATTATGTATTAATATATTTATTTAAAATTATTTTCACTGTTTGAATTTCTAGGGGTTTCTTAAACCGAAATGTATTTATTTGAACTTCTGTCTTGTATAGAATTTTTTTTTTGTATTGAAAATATAATTCGATAATTTGTAGATATCGGTTAGTTTTAGCTTTTAAGTTATTTGTTACCAAAGATTAAGTCGTTCCAATGATGTTCTCATTATAATTGTATTCTCCATATGAAAAATAAAAAAAAATCTCGAAAAGGAAGACAATTTCATTATTTACGACCCGAGTTTTAGTTATTTTTCTTTATTTAGTGCTTAGATTTGTCACTTATATTTACTAAAAAATCTGGCATCGATTCCTTGAGCAAACGGAGTTGTAAAATAAAGGATTGGCCCCGGCTATCTCATTCACCACACAAAACTCGAAAAATACGCGGGGCGGTCAAAAAGTTCGCCGAATTAAAAGTTTAAAAAGAGATAGAAACTGTCCCGTGTACTGGATAATTGATGACTCCTAATTTTTGTAGAAAAGTGTCTTATTATCATTTCATTTCAAGATTCTTTAAACCTTGATCACTAAGGTGACAAGAACCATTTGCACTCATCAAAAGTATCTTTATTCAACTCGGCACAATTTAAAATAACACTGATAGGGCTAGCTTCTGATACTTCATTAAACTCCATTAAACTCACATTTAAAATTGAGTACTAAGACTAAAACAATATAGTACTTAAATAAACAGTATAGTTATTAAGCTCGGCAACTTATGATTTCTTTGTACGTACTCCTCGGGTAGATTCCGAACACAATTTCGATATTATAAAGTTACAGCTTCTATGCTAACAGTCAAACGAATCATGAATTTAGAATTAGCCACCCCCTCCTATAGCGCGAGGAATTTGTCCCGCCTTGTAAACAATTTTGATCGATAAGCCTTGATCTTTATTAAGCGGCACGCGACCAGTCGCTGCGTCAATTTCCCAGGGCAAATAGGGCGGCGTACGGACGGACCACTCGAGAGGAAACTATTGTCATTCTCAGATAATAAATGTTTTATTCGTGTTGATTTTTCTAATAATAACTCTAACGACTTTTCTTTGTGACAGTGTTTTTTAAATCTGAGAAGGTGGCAGCGAGGATATTTGCAATATCTTTAATAGAGTGGCCCCCGGCTACCTCACTCACCAGACGAAACGCTTTTACTTCACGCCGGTCTTCTGTGAGGTCTTGGTACTTATCCGGACAGACCTGCTCATTCGGGCATCTGCAACCCTACGGGTTGTTGCAAACATCCATGGGCGGTTATCACTTAACATCAGATGAACCTTCAGCTCGCTTGCCACATTCTCACATAAAAAATGTATGACCATAAATAACACGCATATTTTCCAACACATACATACTTACACGGTTAGATTTTTTTTTATGGAGAAAAGGGGCAAACGATCAGGAGGCTCACCTGATGGTAAGTGATTACCGCCGCCCATGAACACCTGCAACACCCGAGGGCTCACAAATGCGTTGCCGGCCTTTCAAGAAAGAGTATGCTCTCTTTTTGAAGGTTCCCAGGTTGTAACAGTAAGATAAGAGTTGAAGAGTTTGTGCCGGCATTTATGCCACCATGCAAGGTTTCCGGATGTGGTGATTCACGCAGCAGCTTCTATTGTGGCATGACCAGGTCGGCTCCTCTTTGAAAGTATCAATCTCGCGAAAGATTCGAGACATATTCAACAATGGGCTTTGCTGTTTTCTAAACAGTACTGTACCACGGCCTCACAAAAAAGCGGCGTGTAGTGGAAGCATTCGGTGATCGGTGATCAGACAAAAGATGGCAGCACATCAGCAACCCAACGGTAGTTGTAAATGTCCATGAGCGGTGGATGTCTGAACAAGTGAATCGGCTCACATGTCACTTTTTCACATAAAAGTATATTTTTGCATTTCATATGGTACTTGAGATAACCAGTTACCGCCCTCTCATAGTTTGACATCCCAACTGCAACCTCTCATGTGATGTCTTCAATTCATGCTGATACAGCAAACTTGGTATAAAATTATTAGGTGCTATAAAATTCTCAGGGCGGAGCTAACGTCATTTCCCCTCATTTTGGTGCTGAAAATATCCAATCTGAATTATATTTTAGATATTTTAGTAGTTACTAATTTTATTGTCATTAAGATTATTTGACAATCGTCAATTGGGAAGAAGCGTAGTCGAAAGAGCATAATAAAGTTGTAAAGAAAAAAATAATGCAATAAAGTTGGACAAGGTACGCTTGGGTATCATGAAAAAAGCGGTCTTTTCACCGCATTGGCCTATAAATATAATTAACGAGTGAAACAGTGGTTGTTAAGTCTTTGATAATTCCGAGATTAGATAAAGCCTCCGCAACGTGTTAAATACACGTCAGTGGAAACTCAATTGATAATTATTGTTCTTTTTTTTTATTAAATATTGACTCAATTGTTAACAGCAAATCAGACTCTGTTGTTCAATTATCACGTAGATATGATATCTATGTAACTGATTAATGTGATAATTCATATATTTACGCGAATGCTACAAACTATTAAATGAAACAATTTTTACGGATTTGACACAATTATTTCTAATATTAATTCACCGTCACGGGACAGACTGAGGTATTAGACGTCTTAACTATAACTCAGGCTTCCGCCAGTTTAATAATTAATTTTCTGTCCGATCTGTATTCTGCAAAGCATTCGAAACTTCGAGAATTAAAATTAAAAATATATACGATAAGGCGTAAAAAAATAGTTTCGTTTAGTAACTGATGTAATATGTTTAAATGATTCTACTCTTGAATATATAAGAACGTTTTTTTTACCGCTTCAAGGTTGGCTTGCTATAATGTTTAAACCTGAAATTAACCGTCAGATTTCGCGGTTAGTTCAAATACAACTTAAGTAACAAAATGTATAATGAATTAAATATTTTAAGTCTATGATTTTCCTACACACACTAATCCCAGCTCTACACACACTAACGTACAAATGACAAACATTCAGAATCTTAAAATTCGATTGAAAAAAGAGGGTTTAGTATAAAAAACATTTTATTATTAAAAAAAAAAAAACAAGAAAAGAAACTTAAGCTATCTAACTCGTTCACAGTTCAGTCTTCACTTTGTTCTGTTTGTGCCAATCACGGAACGCGGCGATTGCCTTCAGGACGTCCTCTGTGAAGACTTGGGGCAGTTCCATGGCGAGGAAGTGGCCGCCGTTTTCGAGCACTGTCTCGTTTATCAGGTTCTTGTACTTGAACCTCATGATCCAGCCCGGGTGGTAGACCAGCTCGTTTTTAGCCTGGATGAACCACGCGGGCACGGTTGTCGGTATGCTGGATGAGAAAAGAGTAAGGTTTATTCAACCTTAAATGTTCACTAACAGTTTTATCATAATAAGCTTTCCACGGGAGTGGATAAGGGTGGTGGCTGTAATGATTTGAGAAACAGAAAGGTTATCTACGAGATAAATATTTCTAGGACGACGTAGATAAATACAATTTTATACGAATATAAAAAAAAATAATGGCCCATTTATCCATCCCATTATCTTGCCATTTATCTTCTATATTTTTACATAACAACACCTTGATGATGACTTGGCACACCGACAGCATCATAACGTCTCACGAGTGGCTAGAGGGACTATTATATACTAGTATTAAACAAAATTTCGTAATAAGAATTAAATACACGAACGCACGATTTCTGAAACACTGATCATCGTTGAACTTAACTAATCAACTGTCAAATGGCTTTTCAAATGTCATTCAAGTTGCCAAAAGGATGGTTAAACTCTCTGAATTGATCAGAATGATCTTCTTAAGAATGATCAATTCAAAGAGTTTAACCATCCTTTTGGCAACTCAAATGACATCTGAAAAGCCATTTGACAGCTGATTAGTTAATTTCTACGATGAGCAGTATTTCAGTAACCGGGCGTAAACTTCAATACTAACACCAAATGCCTCTAAGCTTCCTCTTATGGTGTTATAAAAGTCCGTTTCGTGTACGCTACTTCTAAAAGATGAACGGTAGAACTTAAATGATACTTACTCGTCCATCTTTAAGCTCATGTATCTCTTGTTAAATGTCTCCGAGTAAAGTCGCATTGAAGTGGTGATGGAGTTCGTGGCCCAGTACATCATCAGGTTGTCTATTAGCTGCTCGCGGGTGAAGCTGGAGCTCAAACCACCGTCCGCCTTCAGCTTGTATTCTGGCTTTGTCCAAGTCGAGAATTTCTCCAGGATATACGCGAGGAGTCCAGACGGCGAGTCTGATAGAGCCACGCCTGCATGCAAATGGTAAGATCTAATCTGATATGTTTCAGGTAACAGTGTTAACTGTGGTGGGGCCCCGCAACAGTTGTTGCACTAATGGGCAGGTCCGTCCAGGTAAGAACCACGACCTCACAGAAGACCGGCGTGAAGAGGAAGTGTAATATTTAAGTGTTTTGTTTGTCACCTTCTAAGATAAAAAAAAATTAAAAAAGAAAGTCAGAACCAAATCCTCACAGAAACCTGGTGTTTAGTGGAAGTGTTATACTGTATGTTATTCTGCGTTTCGTCTGGTGACAGAGGTGGCCGGGGTCGCTTAATTGAAAGGTGGCAACGCATTTGCAGGCCAACGGGTGTTGCAAATGTCCAAGGTTGGCGGTTATTACTTAATATCAATTTTTAATATTAAATTAAATTATTAATTGAGCCGTGATAGCTCAGTGTCCGGGCGCTCGCCTTTAATTCAATATACTCGAGCAACCTGAGTTCGATCCCCGGTGCCGGCACCAATGAAGTTTTTAACTTTAAGTGCTGACTTATCACGTGCTCCGCGGTGAAGGAAAACATCGTGAGGAAACCTGCATATTTTCGAAATAATAATAAAAAAAAATAATATTTGGAATATATGTGAAGTCCGCTAATCCGCAGTGGGGCCGCGTGGTGGACTATGCCCTGATACCCTCTGTATAGAGGAGGCCTTTGCCCAGCAGTGGGACATGTATAGGCTGTTACTTTACTTTTTACTTAATATGACGTGAACTGCCTCGTATGCCACATTCTCAGAAAAAATTAAGGAAATTAGCGAGTGGGAAAGCTGTTCCTTTTCTATGTGTCTCACCATAATGTGAAATTTTGGCACAACAGTTTAACTCTCGTGTATCGAATATTAGTGTTCAATTTCAACATACCGATTGTATCGGGCTTGGAGGACTGTATATGTAGATATCCCGTCTCCTCGAGAAGGTATCCGAAGTGTTTGCTGAGTGGGTATAAGCGATCGGCCAATTCGGCCTTAACCACCAAAGGAGGGTAGACAGACCCTAATACATTTATGAGTGTGGTCCTCCCCGTCAACGAAGCTGCCATATTCGAGTGGTAGCCAAGAATCTCCTGTAAGTTGAGTAGAAGTTTAATGGAGGGAGCTAAATACTTCTAAGCCTTGGAGTGTAAGTTCCTCTTAAGTTTTGATAGGCAATATGCTTAATATATATACTTTATACACTGAATAAGGTTGAGTAATTACGTGGACAGAATAATAATAGAAATATTTTTTTTATTTGTATTTAGTTTTTAGTTTTTTAGGTGAAAAAAGACCGCTGCTAAGATGGATGACACATATACAGATTTAGGAGCTGAGAACGTATGAATACCTCTGAATAATGTTTGAGTTATATAAAATAAAGTACAGTGCAATGTAAAAATACAGACTATGTTCAAATGCTAGACAAATCCATCCTCATGCATCATCTTTAGGTCAGAGAGTATCTTAATGGAAAGATAATGAATTTGCTTGATTATTTTCAAAAATAATTCGGCTAAGTCTGCAACCTATTTTTAAGGTTTATAAGCTTTAAAAAAGCAGTTCACGCAAACCTCGGGGAACATTGTGGCCATGTTACTGGTAATAACTGCACCCCAATCACCTCCCTGAATGTAGTACTTCTTGAATCCGAGTCTGTTCATCAGATTTCTGAACATGACAGCCATTTTGTCAACACCTAGACCTGGTCGCACGGAGGCCTAAACGGTCGATGAAGAAATTTAAGTTAGAGACAAATACAACATGTGTTACAAAATTAAATTAAATGCAAAATTTAATTAGATAAAGCAATTTTTATACGTGACGTTGCGTTTTTTGTAATTTCCAATTTTCTCCAGCCGTGGTCACGGGATGGACAGACGTCCCAATGTCACTGTCTACCCGAGTTACCATTAGGTTTTAATACAAAAAATATTATTATTATATATTATTACATATACTTTATTGTACACCACAAAAAGTTGTATACAGTTGATATAAAATAAATCTTAAAAGCTAGGTACAATAAGGCGGTCTTATCGTTAAAGAGCGATCTCTTCCAGACAATAGGACAAGGAAAATTAAACTTATGAATAATGGGAGGTGGTGTGCTTAATAAACTTACTTAATAATAACAAAATAAACTATAATAAACTATAGTAAACATAAATAAATATACAATGTATATAATTAACATAAATAAATATATGAAAGTATATTATATATTTATTCCTTTATTAATGTGCAGTTTAAAATAAGTTAAAGCTAACTTCAACTTGTTTAACTTCTCTAAATAAATCGCACTTACTTCGGAGTATCCGTAGCCCGGGAGGCTGGGCACGATAACTTCCAGCGCAAAGTCTCTGTCTTTGCTCACAGCTGTTAAGAGAGGAATCGCGGCATCAAACTCCCGAACAGATCCCGGCCAGCCGTGGAGCAGAAGTAACGGTACGGTTTCAACACCCGCTGGGACCTAAATTGAAATTTTCACGGAATTTTCTCAGCGAATTTGTATCATTTCCAACATTATTTGGCGTTCCATTATTGAAAGTCCATTTGACGGAGATAATTTTACTATTCTCTATGTTTAGAAAATGAAAAACAAAAGTATTTTTTAAGTACATCTGGGGATCGACATGGTTTTAAATTTACAAGGCCAACAATTATACACTTTTATATACACTTCTACTGTTGCACGAATGAGCAGTCTCGACCAGAACCTACTACAAATACCACTGCCTCACGGAAGACTGGCGTGATAGGGAAGCATCATACTTTTCCGTCTGGTGAGAGAGATAATCGGGGCCCACTTATTATTGGTTGATCTACAACTCGTCAGATATTATATATCCATTTGTAAAAAAATGAGGTAAACCACATACTCGGTTGTCATTATTTCACATAAAAAAATGTAATGGAGTGAAAACAATTTATTTCTTCTCATTCAAATATACCTATTATTGCTTTTAGTATTGAATTGGATTCGGTACAAATAAATCACAGAAAGGTACACATTAGTAAATTACTGTGCCTTACCTCGGGTTTGACCCTGATGAAGTGGACATCAAGGCCCTGTATGTTTGTCTTGAACTGCGGATATTTGTTGAATACCTTCTCGCGCTCCTCGAAGGGATACTCCTCGGCCCAGTAATTTATCCAGTTGCTCATTTGTTTGCTATTGAAGCCGTATTCGAAGGCTACGCCCTCTAAGGGTGGTACGAATGGCCGGTGTGCTTTCAGACGCTCTTTGAGGTCTTTTATCATCTACATTGACAGAAGAATCAAATAAAAAATTGTCTCCGAGGATTCGTTCAATAGTATAGATTTTTTGGGTTCTGTGCCCAGAGTAAAACGGGACCCTATTACTGAGACTCCGCTGTCTGTCTGTTTGTCCGTCTGTTACCAGGCGGTATCTCATGAACCGTGTTAGTTAGATGATGTATTTCTGTTGCCGCAACAACGACAAATACTAAAAAACAAAATAAAAATATATAGAGAGCCCCCATACAAAATACATTGTTTTTTTGCCTTTTTACAGATGGTGATACGGAACCCTTCGTGCGCGAGCCCGACTCGCAATTGGCTGGTTTTATTTGCTTGCAGTCGTCAAGTAATGGAAGGTGTGGGCAGTAGATTCTGCTGTTGCACGAATAGGCAGACTCGTCCGTGGAATACTGGCGTGTTCTAGGAGTACTTTTGCGTTGCAAATGATGAGTGAGGTAGCTCCATCTCTTTTATACTTGGGGGTCCATCAGCTAACCAATTGACATTAATTGTACAAGCTACTCGCTTGTTATATTCTCACAAAATGAGAAGTAACTCCTGATGGGATTAAAAATGTTAGATGATGTTTAGAAGTAGATTCAGTTCAATGATTTAATAGTGCAGCAGTGATCGGATAGTTGAATTAAATAGTGCAGAACGTTACCGCAGCGATTGTTCTGATGTTCAATCTTTAGTTTATTTATGCGTAACGAAAAACTACATATTTTCCAATACGATCGGTTGAGTGATTACAGTGACAGAATTTCTTAACTAGCTACTCATGATTAGCTTAACAGACTTAGGAGATGCTTTTAAGTCATTCTTTTCTGCCATTTATCGTATTTAGATATCCTAATCAAAATCGCCCGTTTTCACAATATACCTAAACCGTGTGAATTTTAAGAAAAATAGAATTAGTATTTCTAAATAAAATGGAAAAAATATTTTGTAATCATGCAATGTACATAGATTACAAACTATTTTTTCCTTCAATTTGTTCTGCATCGAAAGATTTTGTTGGCGAAAAAGTTTCTCAATTTAGTGTTTTTTTTTTCGCTGCCAAAGTATGCAAAAGTGATGATATTTTACTAAAACAGTTTTTTGTGAATATTTTAACGAACAGGTCATTCCAATTCCGAAAATTAAATAAAATAAATGAGTCATTTATGGATTATAGCAACGAATTTCGATTGAAATGCTCGTCAAACTAGTTAATCGGTGACCACTTTTTTTCTAATATGCAGAAAAAACACACGACTGTGAAGAAATTCTTCTAAAATATGTATACTAAGTAATAGTCAGTACTATTATGACTACTTGAATAAAGAACTTGGTAAAAGAGATAAATGTTTGTTGTTGTCATTTTTTCTAATATCCAGGGAATTTGTTGACATTTTTTACGGTGGTAGGGCCACGAATGGGCAGGCTCGTTCGGGCAAGTACCACGACCTCACAGAAGACCGGCGTAAAGTGGAAGTATAAACACTTTTGGGTTTCGTCTGGTGAGTGAGGTGGCCGGAGCCCAATTTTTAAAGGTTGTCAACGCATCTGTAACCCTCGGGTGTAGCAGATGTCCATGGGCGGCGGTTTTCACTTAACATCAGGTGAACCGTCTGCTAGTTTGGCAACTTTTCACATAAAAAAAATATTACAAAGATTATGATCAAATTCTTAGAAAACTATACTAAGTAATTATTGCTACTCTTATGGCCATTTGAATAAAAAACTTGGGAATAGAGATAAATAAATTTTGTAGGTAACATTGTGGCAAAAGTCCTATAACTGTTCTGGTGCTGACAGATATGATCTTTCCAATGAATAGCTATTAGAAGCCTGAAGATAAGAGGGTAGAGTATTCTATCTTAAAGGCTGGCAGAGTGGCAACTGGTAAACCCATGGGCGCTGGTAATAGCCCAAGTTAAGGTCCGTTTGACTTCAAGGTTCAGGCTAGGCGCCCTCAGCGGCCACCTCAAGCCCGGTGGCTCTGTAAAGGCCTCCTAAAGCCAAAAAAGTGGTTGATCCAGCAAAAAAAAAAAAAAAACCTTTTGTAAAACTCTCCTTGGAACTGAAAGATATCTTTTAAATTGGTACTAACCACTTTATCGAACTTCAGTTTGAACGGTCTCACGCTCGTGTCCTGTTTCGTCTTCAGCTGCTCCGGGCCCCACCACTCGTTGAGGTCGACCTCTGGCAGTGGTGGTGGACTCTTCAGGAAGATGAAGTACACCGGAGCCCCGAGAGCGATCAGCGTGGCCACGAAGAATAACTTCGCCATCTGGACAGAACTTCGTTTTCATGTTCCCACCCACAGTTGAATTTACTTTATTGTCTTGTATAAGTCCGATTTGGTACGATTTTTTCTAGTTATTATCAATTTCTTTTTAAATGCAAATTAAAGGTGAGAACGAGACATTATCATTCACAATTAAAATAAAAATATATAAAAAAAATATATATACAATAAAGTTAAAACGTGATTTTATTCTATATACAAATTTTGAGTTTATTGTAGGATCTCTAGTCGATAGAACACAACATCTGATATGCAGAAATTTGGATGTTTCTCTTTTAAAAACTCGCGAATAATCCTTAGATGGAATCGGAAACATTACTTCCTACTATAAGTTTAAGATATAAGATGTTTTGATATTTGGATGTATTTGTTAATAACTATTATTTGCTTATAATAAACGTTTTTGATAAAGAGACCGTATTAAAATTTCCATTTCAATTCTTATTAAAAAAAATCGGATGACTTATTTTGCTGAATTAAGTACATTACATATTCGTATTTATATATTAAATGGCACGATTTAATAAGTTGAGTAAACAAATACATATGGCGAGAAAAGTTTTAAAGAATCTTAATGCAAATTAAAATGATGCAGAAATAGTTTCCATGAAAGTATACCCATCAAAAGTAGCGGAACTCGATACAGTTCTGTAAAAAGTTTAACTGCAGTTAATTTTAAACTGGCTTGCCGCGAACCGTGTCATAACGGTTATTATGCTGTTAATTCAATACTCGCCTCACCTGTGCTGAATTGAGGGTCAAGGTATACGGAAATTAGCGGCATTATACCCAGACGAGCGGTTTTCATGGCGTCATTTGGGAATGGTTTAGCTTTAAAATTGTATTACGTTCGGTGATTTCTGTACTGTCTGTCAAGGTTTTTATTCTGCATTACTTTTAAAGACTGAATATTGATTAAAGTTTTTACTCGTGTTCTGACAAAAATTAGTAATTTGTCTTAATATTTATTTTAAGTTCCGTTATAGCTAGTACAATGAAGAATGAAGAGATTCGTAAGTGGTGCACAGATGTGTTCCCAACTTGGTCTCAACTTATCAATTTGTATATATTGCAAAAGACGCTAAGTTGATACATATATTAACGTGTATTGTACTAAACTAGTGCAGACTAGTTATGAAAATATTGAATAACCAGAGATTCCAAAGATTGATAGATAGAATTGTCTTGTATAATCATTGAATCATATAGAAATTAGATTAATAATAGTAAATTTTATTAGAAATAGTAATCGAATTTCTAATAAAATTTACTAGTATAGTCAGTACGACTATAAGGGTTATTATTTACTGTAAGGATTTAATTTAAATAAATATTGAGTTATTATAAGTTATATGTATAAGTACTGACATCTATTAAAGAGATAATTATTTTTCCGAGTCTCAGGTAATTGTATTGTAGGCAAAAACTAGGTAATTGCTACGAACTAAAGATCACTCTGAACCAAGGTTTATCACATTTGCATGTCAGGTAAATAACTCTTTACATGACATAATTGACCAATCTTATTTAATTGAGGCAACTTCATTAGATATTCCATTAATCTATGTAATTTTAAGATAAGTAACAAAGATCAAAGTTCTTTTATCTCTTCGAAGGCGTTAATACAGACCTGGTACCGTACCGTAATTGTAAATAAGTGTAAGGTAAGAACTTAGCTTAAACCGTGCCCAAATCAGAGACTACAATCTATTGAAAGTATCTAAGAGTAATGAGAAATACTACACGGCATTCCAAACTGATTAACAAAATTACTTGAAACAATGTAAAATGTGTGTGAGCATTTAAATACGGTTCAAACGTCAACGCGACCCGGCGTTGGCTTATATTTACACAAAATCGATACACCATAGCTCCTGTTTCGAAGCTAGGCAAACGTGTATTCCTGCCCTTGTCAGACGTCAATCGAAATTCAACACTATTACGACTGTCATTGAGTTTTAAATCGAAAACAATGGTGAAATGAAAAGATATGCATGGCAAAATGTATTTCACTATGCTGTAGCATAGTTCCGTTATGAAGCAAAGTTCATCCGACCATTGTCAAGCGTCAATCGAAATTGTATCGTATTACCAACGCCCTCGAGTCTTAAATCGGTAATTGTACTAATTTAAACGTTTAATCGAAGCAAATGGACGCAGCGCAGTCGCGTTTCGGAATAGTTTTCACTCCACACGACCGTACGACGAACGATTCTCCCCCAGTGAGGAAAGACCACCGCACAGATTCCGCTGCCTTTCACGCACCAATAGGCTTTGTGCTGCACGCAATAGAACACATTATGGTATCACAGCCGGACGACACGGTTCACTCGAACTAACCTTGGCCTTAGATATTCGTACAGCGTCAAATACGCGTCCACCCGCACGAAGTATCGCCAACGACTGACGGTGACGTTCCGCGTAACACAAGTTCTTACTCAATCAATAGCTTGGTTATCTGTTATCGTCGGCGCTGATTAATATGTACATATATGCGTTTTCTTTATGTGCCTTCTACTTAATATTGAGCTCTATAGTAGTAATATGTTATAAACAAACCCGGTTCAAAGATCAATGTGGCTTCCAAGGTTATAAATTCGTATGAATAATACATAAGTTTCTTTAGTTTTATCAAATCTCTGACTGTCAATAGGTAATTTATAATATCTGGTTTTGAGAGCTACATTTTGTTTTGTTGGATTGATATTGTCCAGCGTTTATTTTAATAATTATAATCTATAATCCAATTGATTAAAGTAGAATTAGTAATGGTTGGACCCAGACCATTGTACTTTAAACGAAACTTTTTTAAATATCGAGTCGACATAAAAAGCCAAGGCGTTTGTTGCCACGCGAAAGCGAGACATTTAACATGTGGTCCAGTAATGCGTTCGGCTTCACGCGGCTTGCTTCTGTTATCTTCGTGTGTGTTTACTAAGACTAATAGTACGTAGGCCCGCACTCAGAGACTTCAATTAGCATTCAATGAGCGTTTATTTTGCTTTTTAATAAATATATTTCGTCTTACACACACACTTATAGCCAATACTATATTAAAGCAGTATCTTGTATCTTGTATTAACTGATGTTTTTGCTTTCAGTCCCGAGACTATTAAAGCTTCATCGGACGCAGAACCGGTGGGCTAGCCAGAACCCACGGGTTTGGACCCTCCGCTGTGGGTAGGGTCGCGCATGTGCTCATGCGTGCGTTTAACTACTATGGTGTGTCATCTAAGGGCCGTCGAGGTCGCCGGTTCGGACCGAGACCCCGACGGCCGTCGACTGTGCATTTAGCTAATCGGTGGCTGGGAGCGGTGAGAACCGCCCCGGAACGCGGGTGTACCTTGTGTACGCGTTGTGTGGGTCTCGCCGTGCTCGGAGGCGAGGGCGAACTGGTGTGATTGTTGTAACACTAACTGTGGGTGTAGTGTTATCCGGCGGGACCCCCGGCGGTGGGTCCATCGTGTCTAAGTCCTCTTCGTCGACCGGGTCGATGAGGACGTTTTGCGGGCGACGCTTGTTAACGTTCGCGTTAGTGTCCGGTAGGTAGTTTGCTGCGCTTACCACCAGAGGGTTGGGATGATGCTGGGCTCTATCGAAGAACCGTTTTGTCAAATCTTTAAAATGAGCGCGAATCGTCGGGAGTCTGCAATCGCTGTGCAGGTCGACGTTGCGCTGATACCATTGCGCACCGGTTGCGCGGCGGATAAACTTACTTTGAACTACTTGCAATTCGTCAATGCGCGTAGGATTTATGTGTGCGAAGATCATGCATGCGTAGGACATGATTGGCCTTACGCAAGCTTTATATAACAATAATTTGTGCCTTAAGGGCATTTTACTATGTTTATTCGTTAAATTGTGTAGCCGGCCGGAGACGAACGCGGCTTTATTTCGGACTTGATTGATGTGCGTAGTGAAAGTCATACGCGAGTCGAAAGTGACTCCTAGATATTTGACCGTTTTCTCCCAGGGGAGAGTTTGGGCCGTATAGTGATATTTGCCCCAACTTTCTGTACTGGCGAGGACCTTTGTAACGGTGTGGCGGATGGGGGTTGGGGGTGCTACGTGTGAAGTGAATCGCCACACTTTTTTCCGGATTAATATCGATTCTCCATTTGCGGAACCAATCGCCGAGGCGGTCGGCGGCGCTTTGGAGTCGAGTCGTTAATTGGCTGAGGTTGCGATCTGAGTAAAAGAGCGCCGTGTCATCCGCGAAAAGCGCGAGATTGACGTGGGGGTCTCTGGGTATGTCGCTCGTGTAGAGCGTAAATAACAAGGGTGAGAGGCAGGAGCCTTGTGGTACGCCGGCCGTGAGGCGGCGGCTTGTGGAGAGGGTGCCCTCGACTCGATATCGAAAAGAGCGGTTCAACAAAAAGGCCCGGATGGTGTGTACGAGCCTATCTGGCACTTTGAGTGTGTACAGCTTGTAAAGCAAGCCGTTGTGCCAGACTTTGTCGAATGCCTTTGCGACATCGAAGAAAAGAGCCCCTGTACTGATATGTTTCGGGTGGTTTAGGCCTTTTAGGATGTGCTCCGTTAGGCGGTATAACTGATCTGGACAAGAGTGTCTAGCTCGAAAGCCGAATTGTTCCGTCGGCAGAAGGCCGTTGGAAAATACGTGCTCTTTGAGCCTGTTTAACAATAGCCGCTCGTAGAGCTTCCCCAGACAACTGAGGAGGCTGATGGGACGATAGCTAGAGGGCTTATTGGCTGGTTTATTCGGCTTGCGAATGCCGATAACCGTGGCTTGCTTCCAGTCGTCCGGAAAGGAGCAACTGGAGAGAAGCGTATTGAAAATTGTCGCCAGTAAACAGATAAGCGGTCCAGGGAGAGCTTTTAGAATCTTATTACTTATATTATCTGGGCCCTGGGCGGATTTAGGTTTTAAATTTTTAATTATATCTTGGACCTCTTCGGGGGTCACTGAATTTAGAGGTTCGCCTTCCGGTGGAAGCGCAGCCCTAGTCTCGATTAAGCGGTCCACCTCCGTTAGGTGGGCCGAATCGGTGTGTTCGCGCGATGGCGTACATTGCTGCTCTAGGTTGTCCGCAAGGCATTCGGCTTTTTCGGAGTCATCTAGGGCTACTGAAGCGCTATTAGAACTAACTAACGGCGGTAGAGATTCGCGGGGGTCTGCTTTCAGACTGCGGGCCAACCGCCAGTAGGCGGTGTGCGATGGCTCGATGTCCTCTAGGACAGTGTCCCACGTTGTTTGTCGGTGTTCCGATACACGATCTTTGACTTCTAGCTGAAGGCGTCGAAGTAGAGTACGGTTCGATTCCGATCGGTATCGGTCGAAGGCGCGTTTAGCTGCATTTTTTTTTGTCTAATTAGCAGTCGTAGGTCGGGCGGAAAGTTAAACCGTCGGTCGCCCGACAGTTTCACCGTCCGTTCCGAGTCTGTGACTGCGGAAGTAATAGTTTCACGGAGACTCGCTATCGCTCGATTTGCGTCATCGAACGTAGCTATCGTCTCGGGTAAGTCTACTAAGTTCTGGGGGTCCAAGGCCTTGAGTTTGACCTCAAGACGATGCCAGTCCACTACGGATTTGGTCGGAGGGACCGCGCCGGCGTTCTGGCCCAGTTTACACAGGACGGGCCTGTGGTCTGAATCTAGTTCATGGATTGTCTCTATCGACTCGATGTCGAGCGAGACCTCCCTGAATAACATTATGTCTAGGACACTCGGTGACGCGTGCTGGTAGTTGTCCACCGTAGGATACCTAGTGGGAGTCGCGGGAGCGACTATACTGAAATTTAGGTTATCGGATAAGCTAAAGAGATGCTTTCCGTTGTTGTTTTGGGATGCTGTTAATGTCCCATGAGCCGTGTTTGCAGTTTAGATCTCCTGCAATTATCACGGAAGGGCCTAAGTTTAGAAGCGTATCTAGGTCGCTTTGAAGGAGGGTTCTATTCCCCGAGAGGTAGGCTGAGACTAGTACAAGCGGCCTGTGGCCGGTGAGCGCTAACCTACACGCGGATGCCTCTATTTGACTTAGCTCTGGAATGTCGAGCGGGCAACAGTGCAAGGACCGTTTATAATAAATTAGTGTGCCTCCCAGACGGTTTGCTAACCGGTCGTGGCGGACAATATTGTAATTTGCGATTCTGGGATCGCGTACACTTGGTTTCAAGAATGTCTCTTGCACTAAGAAAATATCTATGTTATAATCGCGAAGGAATTCCGCGATTTCATCCCTTTGACCCTTTATGCCGTTTGCGTTGAAATACGAAACAACCAGAGCCCGAGGTTTTGATCTACCTGCGGTTGTACTTCCCATTAAAGTGCCTTTATGGGTCTAATTAACGACGCGGTGGAGCGCGGTTTTATTGCGCGGACTATTGATCTTTATGGTTGGCTCGTAAAAGCCCAAAGGGCTTCCACAAGCGTTTTGTGTTGGCTAATTGCCCTAAGACGCTCGTGGCCAGATGTGGCGGCCGCTAATTTAGCGGACAATACGGCGAGTTCCTGTCTATTTATTGTGTCCAATAAACTGCAAATGTTCGCTATTTGCGCGAATGGGTCGTCTTTGTTTTCCGCGAAAACTGACGGAATTGGCTGCACCTGCGGCCGCGGCGCCGTTTGAGAGGCGGGCAGCTGTTTCGCGATCGGTCGTGAGGCGACCGGGATTACCGGCGCGGTTACCTGCGCGGCCACCTGGGGTTTCGCCCAGGCGTTTACGACGGGTACGGGCGCGGGAATGAATTTAACGGGCGCGGGTTTTGGCAACGTCGATTTCGCGGGAGATTTCCTCGCGGGAGTTTTCGGGGCCTTTGCGCAGCCTCTATAACTAGCCGGATGACCGGTAGTGTGGCAATTTACGCAGTCCGGTGGATCTGCGCAATCTTTCGCCCTCGTGCACTCGGTCGTGCCGTGGTCACCGGTGCATTTGACGCACCTTGGGTGAGCGAAGCAGTTATTGGCCGTGTGGCCAAAATGTTGGCAGTTGTGGCACTGTGCCACAACACCCGATTTACGTGGGGGCTCGATGACTAAGTCACTGAGCCCACAGACCCTCTTGAGGTTGAAAATGGCCTTACCTTCCGGGGTAGGGTCAAGTTCCACCATGACCATGTCCATAGGGACACGGGTGCGAGGGTGCCTGAGACGGCGCACGGCGTGGACAGGGTATCCCTGAGTGCGGATGTCGACCTTAGCCATATCGACATCCGACTCTTTTGGGACGCCCTTTATTACGACCCGAAGTTTGCGCTCTTCGGGTAGAGAGTAGGTGTGGAAACCTACCTTAGCTTCGCGCAAGTATTTAGTTGCGCGACGGAAGTCGTCCGAAGAATTGAGGTATACGCGGATACCCATATGCGTATTCTTGGACCGGGGGTCTCGGATGTTGTGGCGTTCAAACCACGAACAAACCTGGTGCCACTTTGCCTTATCTTGAATTATTATAGGCGGCGGTGGCTTAATTTTTCGCTCGGAGGCGAAAGTCGGTTCCGACTGGGCAGACGCGGCTGCCTTTTTTGGCGGGCGTCGCGGTGGGACGGTTTGACGGGGCGGCCTCGCTTTCGGGGTCGCTGTCGGTGGCGGGGCGTTTCTTGCCCTTTTTCCGCGATTTGACGACGGTGAAGCCGTCGGCGTTCGCGTTATTAGCGGGGGTCGTTTCGACCTCCATGTCTGAGCCGCCGTCCGATTGTGAGTCGGGAACGACAGCGCAGAAGGGGGCCGAATTGGATTGCGCGGAAGGCGCGTGGAGATTGATCGCGGCGGCGGAGGTCGACGCGACGGGCGTGTTAATTGTCGCAGAGGGCGACACAATAACTGGTGCAGAGGGCACCGGAGATGGCGGCGAGGCGACTGCCGGTGAAGCCGGACTGTCGCTAGAAAATTCGACGACGATGCGTCGTTCCCTCGCGAAATTCAAATATCTTGCCCATATTTCGGGGCACTCCTCCCGCAGGAATTCCTCTATGAGGGAACCCATGTCGACGCTTGAGCCTTTGGGGCTTGCGCCCCGCCGGCGTGTGGTTTGCTAAATAGGCCTCCCCACCTTGCGGCAGGGAGGTGTGTGCCTAAAATTAACCTTTAGTCGCCTGCGCTTTAGGTGCGCTAGGGTGAGTACCTAGCTGTCGCCTAATGCAACAAGCACACAGGTAAAAATTACAATGCCGCCTCTGAGACGAGAAATGTGTGTAGAATTCTACTTACGGACAGGAACCTGCCTACGAGCACAACACTACACTAACACTATCCGCTCGGAAGTCGGGCAAAGTTTCTTCTTTCTTCTGTAACTTTTCTTCTATCTTCTATAATTATTCTTCACTCTTCTTGCTTGAGACTTCCCTAACCGTAGACCGCGAAACACGACAACGATGAGGCAAGCAGTGCACACCGAGATATAAAAGAAATAATATAAATAGCAACAACGGTTGCAAGATGGCTTCCGGGTCGGTTGGCATGGGCCCTCCGGCTCAGATGAACGTCCGTTCCGTGTGGAAGCACGA